TAGAAGTTTAATTAAATATTTGATTTTGTTATTGACAAACTTTGTCATTATTTAATTCGGTGCACGCTTAAAGTCCAGGCCTGGCACACTAACGCGAATCCGCGTAAAGTACCCGTTAGGGAACGGCTATTTCCGGCACACAGTAGTGTCGATAATCGTTGGAAAGTCGAAAAAATAATATAGTACTTTACATATTGTCACGAGTGACTAAAATTTAGTAAGTATCTACGCCCAGAAAACTTACACGTTAAACTCTCTTCATATAAGGTAAAGTAAAGACGAGGCAAATATGTCCTTACATGATAAAATTGAATACGGGGGACTTTCCTGTCTTTGATGTAACCTGATATAAATAAATAACATAATGATGTGTTTAAATACAGAAATAATTTTTGGCATTATATACCAAAGCGTTACATCGAGGTTTAAATGTAAGCTATTAAAACATAAATAACATTATAAAATGTATTTAAGAATAAAAAATAATGTTATTTAATAAATATCGAAATTTATTTTTTTTCATTAATGCATATTTTTTTCTTTGTTAGTGGATGTTGTTCCTAATGGTGATGTGCCTAACTTTGATAGCATCGTTACTCATGCATTTATTTGTGGAAACACCTTTGAATTATCTTATTGATAAAATAATTGATTTTTTTCTGTAAGAAGAAAAAAGTGGATAGAAAAGAAGAATGCAGAATTGATAATTTGCGTGAAAATCAAAACAACGACAACAATGAAGTCTAATAATATCAATTAATTTAATATGATTAATATACTTGAAAATACTGTATTATGATTTCAAATATAATCAAATTGATTTGTAACAATATTGATTAAATGTATTTCTTTATTCGATATATTTAAATGTATTGAACAATATATGCATAATTGTATTCAATTGAAATATAATGAAAGTGATTTATAATAATATTTACAATATGTTGTAAAATTAAAATTTGGGGAAAAATCGACCAAAATATCTAATTATTTGTGTATCTGGAAATTACTAGTGCTCAGAAACTCTCGTTATGTTTCAGTTCATTCTGATTTTAAATATTAGTCACTTCAACTTTCTTAGTTAAAAGTACAATAGCACTTGTATATACAGTATTTCAAACGTAGAAGAAATGATAAAAACACGTCTTTAAAACTTGTTTATCTAAATTAAAATGTCATTATACCATTGTGACAAGTGAAAATTTTTCTACGCTGTAAGAACATGAAAAAAAAATTGTTTTTCTGCAGTTATTCCGAAATTCACCTCGCTCCATTGTATGAGAATTTTTAGTCATACCTGTCACGGCTTCAGCTCTACCTACAATAAGAACTACCTGTTGAGGCTTCAAAACTACTACGTAAAATTTCTGAATAGAACATTTTGTTGACATCTTAACATAATTTCTTCTTCTTATCGTTATAATTGTTAGGAGTAAGCATAAAATTGATTGAGAGGACGAATCACACAGAAACAGAAAACTAAAATAGTTAAACGAGGTTTATTCATGCTACAGGATATGAATTTCGAACACGGAAGATTTAAAGAGTAATCTAGTTTACACAAGCCGCTTTAGCCATCACTCGAAACCATTTTATCCGCTGAAACCAATATTAAATAAATCGTACAGATGTTCATTCAAGTATTGTACGAAATTAAAGCATTAAAAACATCACAACCATACAAAGTTCTAATAGATCGGAAATACAGTAATTGTAAAATAAGGTTTTTGCAATTCAACTTTATCAAAAAGGTAGCGATAAATATGCTTGACTATGAAAGTTTGTAAATCATGTATTTTTAAAGACAGACATTTAAAGCTTATTCAAAATTCAGAATACAGCGTAAAAAATGCAGACGATGTAATATCAAAATTAGAAAAAAAAGAAATTTTGCCTGAATATAAGTTCATGACAGTGGCATGCCATGACATTTGATGATAAGAAAGCAGTGTTTCTGTAAAAAGCTGACTTGCAGAGACAATCATTTATGGTCTGTTTTATTTAGGGTCCATTCGTATTCGCTTGTTCGGTAAGCCAGTAAAAACGGTAGACATCTTTAATATCACAGTTACATTCGGAATCGCTAGCCACGATATAAAAGCTACAATTAAAAATAAAATTATAAAAAATTACTTGGTGAAATAAAATGTGTGGTGGATGCACAGTACATACCTGGCAGAAAATATTATTCAATTGTATAAATATAAATTTATTCACAAAATTTAAAACAATGGAATCGGTGAAAAAATTCATAGAAATACTAAACTTAAAACTACTTTTTCTTATCCCACTTCGAGTAATGAATACAAACGTTTGTCAACAGACTCTTTAAAAAAAATACAAAATAGTCTTAATAAATTAATGGAGAAATATAAGAATGAAAATTCAACTTAACAGGTAAAGAATCTACCAGACTTTAATAACGTAAGAAAACCTAAATTAAACTTCGGACTCAACACTCAACACTCATAAACCGGGAAACACTTGTAGACCTTTCGTAGACTTTAAGAATTTTATAGTATATAATCTTAAATGTTATTTAAAAACCTACTTACAGGTAATAGATAAATCACTTTATGGCGTACAGAACACAAATGAATTGATCAATGGACTATTAGAAGGCAAAATTAAACAAAATTATCGTATTATGAGCCTTGATGTTACAATAAATCAATGTATTCATCTATTACTTTAGATGTGATTAAAAAAACTACTAATAAATATAAAATGCCTAAGTATA